AAACTTTATGTGTCAGCCTTTTATAGACGGTGAAGGAATGTCTCGGGGAGAGGTTGTGTGTGCTTGCGCGTGTACTGGTTACTCCCTGCTGCTATTCAACCACGTGTCTACCTTCCGACTGTCCCGCTAATATCCGTCTCATGAACCAAATCACTCTCCACTTCCTTTACGTTTTCCGGTCAGATAGTTTATACATGTATATGCATATAACATCATAAAATTATAGGTTTGTTTACAACGTCTACCTAAGAATTGGTTACACAGTGAAAAAGAATGAATTCAATGATCCATACCCCACCCTTAGTTAAGCAATTCCCCCGGTGTATGACGGTGAAACTGATTTCACCCGGACTGGGTCATCTTAGTACTATATTGGGTAGTCCGGGATGATTTGCGTTATAAAGAAATTCACGATTATTCATCGATTTTCATGTAGCCTTTTACAGGTTACATTACTCTGCGGTTTTGCAATACTTGTTTGACTTTACATGACGATAATCTGTTTGTTCACGTTAAAGTTCACGATGTGTGTACAAGAAAGTGTCTATGCTCAAAGGTGGACTTGGACTGAGTGGTGTTTTATCGTTTTTTTGCACCTCGATAATTCACTCCTCCAACTATGGAGGACGGAACTTTATATCATTAAAAATATACCGTACGAGTTATAAAAACGGATTACTGTCCGTACTCATCAAAACTTCCTAGGTAGGTATTCATAGATCGCGGAGTTCCACTGTTACTTAATGTAACAGTTTATAAAGTCATGCCAAGAATAAGTGTCTTGACTAACCAGTCGTCTTTGACTAATTAAACGAGGACTTAACTGTAGAAAATCGGAGTGCTCCCGTAGTTATAAGAGGAATTTTAGGACTGATATCGGTTCATAATAAAAGTAGGCCGTGAACACGACACTCAGACACTCGACAAACATAATCATTACAATATAATGTCTCTTTGGACAAGTGTTCCATCCACGCAGGGAGAGTTCTTGAACGACGGGTCACTCGAGCTGGTTTCTCCAAAATTACCTACCCCACCTTTAAATGAATAGGAACTCTAGTGCCTTATACACATTTATTTAAATTGAAAAGAGGGAGTGTGAGTATGGAGGATGTCGGTTACTCACTCTGGAGAAGAGTCTGGAGTTAGACTGGACATGTCTTCCTGGGTGGGAACTGTGGAAATAAAAGGTCAATGGTTATATTGATGGGATGCAGTGTCTTTTTTAACATAAAAAACTGACTTCCTGTCTTCACAATCAACTGATAAAGATCTCTATTTAGCACTATGATCTATTTCAGATTAGTCGGTGTAAATGAGATTATCTGGTCATGGCACTATCAAAGAAGGGATGGGAAAAATAAACTAAAAGGCAGAAAATTGAGGATTTTCCACTTCCTGTAATGAGATGTTTATCTTGTTTGTGTGGCAGCAGGTGAGCTGCTAAACTCCGACATTAGAGTAACAATTCCATTTGTTCCCTCGAGCCACAAGAAGGCAGTTTGCTGCATAAACACCTCCACGCTGAATCCATTACCATACAGATCAGACTGAGATAATATCATAAAGATCTGATGAAAATAAATAATTCACAGGAGTCTCTTTTAATATAAAAATTCCCATTCCCTCTGCACATAGTATTTGCCTTTTATTACACTTTGATCAAAGAGTGGTGAAAGAATGAGTCGTAAGACCTGGACATTAGTCACCATTTTAGCACTTTCTGTCCCCTGGTTTGGAAGTCAATGGTTTTCTGAATGTGAGCCTGATTTAAGGTCTGTGGTTAACACTAGCTGAAGAGATTTTAACGTTTTGTTCTGCTACATAAAATATGTCAGTAAATACCCCACTGGTGAATTTGAATCGGCGGTTGCTATCAAGTGTCTAAATGAGGCAACTAAACGTCATCACTCCCAACATTAGCCGCCTTTAGCTTAGCTGTGCTGAGGTGAAGTCATGTGACCATGCTGTAGTTCCTTTATAGCCCAACATTAACTTCTAACTTCAGGAATCATAAAGTGTGTGCTAATATGTGGAGATTATCTTGCTGAACAAAACGTGTAAGTATCACAAACGTTTGTTTGACACAGAGGTTATTTTCTGGCATAATCCAAAATCAAATCCGAAATTCCATTGGACCAGGAAGATGCTGCCTTGAGGGTCCAACACAGAAATAAGTAATCACTGGACCACTCTATGTCAGAAAGATCCTATGTAAATAAATAATAAAGTCTCTTATTCTGAAAAATATTCCCCCCTTACTAGGGATGCTCCGATCGATCGGCCGCCGATCGATATCGGCCGATATTCACTCTTGGCCGATCGATCGGTGCTCTCTATAAAGGCCGATCAGGAGAGCCGATCACATGACGTAAAATACATGACACTTTTCTCTGCAGCAAAACAAGCTCGCCAAAATAGCTTCACCAGTCTGGCAGTATTTTAAGGTGTCCGAAAAAGACAATAAAATAGCGGTATGCAACGTGTGTAAGCAGAAATCCTGCAGCTCCACCGCTGTGACGGACCGGTGAGCGGAGCAACACAC